CATATAATCAGTTCGTTTGTCAGACGTTTTACCTGATTCTTCATTTATTATTTTCCAGGTAGTTTAATTACCTATTAGATACATTAAACGCATACTAATTATAATTTATTAGAACAATCGTACGCAAATATGTAAGATGTATTGTAGACGAAATAATTATTTAATAATAGTACAATTGTTAAATGAAAATCAACATTTAACTGTCAGTTATAAAACGGAAGCAAACATCGGCCTCGTAAACGGAGTGAGAATGGCTTCCGGCGATGTCTGGAACCCACCTACAAATTGTGACTTATTACTAACGTTGATATAACGATGTAGTTGTATCTAAAGTTGGGTGAATTTGTGTAGATTTATTTGGATAACACCGTAGCATTCGTAGTATATTTTGTTCAAATTATACATTATAAAACCACGCCCACAAAATAGTATTCAAAAAATAGTATAGTAAAATAGTATTCGCATGTCGTGTATTGATACTGGGCCTCCAACCGCAAAGGGTGATTAATGTTAAAAATAGAATGGTTATATCATCTCACAATATGAGAGAAATAGTAAAAATCCGCACACAATAGAAAAACATAATCTGAAATTTTCATTTTAAAAATATTACAAAATCAGACATTCTATAGACGCTAGTTCTAAATTAAATACGATGTTTTCCTTCACCGTTCGCGCGAATGTTAAATGCGCACATAGAAAGAAAGTCCATTGGTGCACAGCTGGGGATCGAACCTACGACCTCAGGGATGAGAGTCGCACGCTAAAGCCACTAGGCCAACACTTCTCTGTAACAGTTATAAACCTAAAATTAGTTAAGTTACATATTTAAATTAATAATTAGAAGCGTAAACCCTTTAGTTTTTCCCACACTCATAAATTGTAATGTTCTCGTTTCCGATAATGTCCAAAAAGGTCGACTAAACTTATATTAAAGTGTCTTAAGAGACACTAAACACACTAATACTAAATGTAAGCATTTATGAACCCTTAAATAAGCCAAGTTAGGTTTTGTTAGCGTCGCAACCCTACCTAAACCTAATTTTATGTTATGTATTATCATCATATTTTAAACGATTAAAGCCAGTTGACATCCAGCTTCAAAGAAAGTTTCATTTATTTGAACATCCCTCCAACAACCGCCACCGAACTTCACTCACTTAAGTTACTGTTTTTTGTCAATTATGACTAGCTGCCATCTATTGAGGTTAATAAAATTCTACCTGCGTTGTACAAATTCATAAATTAGGTTCGTAATTAAAGCGTTCAGTGGCGTAACAATAGGGTGGCAAAATGCAACGGGCCCCCGACCTGGGCCCCTGCCCAAGAGATATTATGTTCTATGGAGAATGTGAAGTCTGCAATACCCATTGGGCTAGCGGGGACTACAGACCATTCCCTCTCGCCTAACAGAGGCCTATGGCCATTGGTAGGACATATACAACGTGTATACGTAATTGAGTGCGCTGAAAATCTAAATTTAAATTTCTATTAAAACTAAACTGAGTACAACATGACGATTTTTACTGCTAGGGCCCCATCAAAAGAAGATTTGCCACGGGCCCCAGATGGTATAGTTATGCCACTGAAAGCGTTAATATACTAAAGTAAATAAACAATATTTTATATAAAATTTATTAATATACAAGTTATTTATTCCACAGGGACAAAAGGAGGATTACATAAACAATTATATTTTGTTCCTTAATTTTTCAAACAAATTTCTGTAACTCAATTTTTGTAGACTTTTGTGTGTTGTGATGGATACAGCGCTCTCAGCTACCAATCGAGCGTTCAAATTCCGGATGTGTACGATTTTCTTTTAATTTAAGAATTGCTCGTGCGGGGGGGTCTCTGCAACTTCTACCGCATTAACCATGGAGAGTTTTCGGAGGAGTTGTTCGGACTAATACCTGTAGCTGAGTTTCACTATCGAATGTCAAGGCAAAATACCATCCGTATCACCTCGACGTCCGTCGTTCTACAACAAAGCGTTTCTTAAGGCAGATTTTGCCGCGCACCACTATGTGGAACCATATTATTCGACTTAGGGTCCTTCAAGACAAGAGCGTACCAATTCTTAAAAGACCGGCAACGCACTTGCGAGCCTTCTGGCAGTGTGAGTGTCCATGGGCGGCGGTATCACTTAACATCAGATGAGCCTCTTATTAGATAAAAACAACGAAATTATAGTGAAGATAGGGGCATTTCTTTAACACCAAAAATTTACGTGTCAGGCACCGAAGGCTGATTACGTACTTGCGTATAAGATATTTATTATTTATACAGATGCAATCAAAGGCAAATGGCTGTGGTACCATCATTTATTATTACTTAACAGGATCGGGAACACTCGTACTAATATTATGGCCCTTTAAGTGAAAACCAAAACTCAACAAACCTTTCTCCATTATAAATTGATGTAATTTTTCAAATGTAAAACGAAAGAAAATACTATCTATATCCTGTCAGTCACCACTACTGCAAAGTGATTAACTTTTCTCACTATAGAAAATTAAAGACTGCTTCATCTAAAATAAGTAACGGGGGCGGGAAATAACTAACTCATTTAAAAATAAAAGATTTTTTTTCTAAATCACACAATTTAATCTAGAATACAGATTACATATACTTACATTGTTAATTATCTATATCAGTCTATCTTAGTGCATGAATATATTATTTTCTTCTATAAATATATCTCTATGAACGGGACTAACCGTCATTCATTTACATAAATACAAGCGTGCACATATTAATTTGTTATTTTTTTTTATTTGCGGTCGTTAAACGAAAAGATTTTATGCCTTGAATCGAGTGTCCAATTTCAACGTCAAAATGACATTAGGGAAACGTCAAATTGACAGAAATAGTTGAAGTATTGACATTTGAGTTTTCAATACTTTTAGCGGAAAACATGAATAGTCCAAAGGTAGAAGAAAGAAGATAGAGTGACAAATACAAAAAAAAGGCTATAATCATAGTCGAGACTGTAACAACATAAACAGCTACGAACTATATCAACTCCGGGCAAAAATTGACAAAAATGACTCCAATAGTGTTGTACACCAAAACACACAATTTTAATATTTGGTTTCGACCATACCACTACAAATGCGGTTGCAACGACCTTCTCAATACATTTAAACGGCGCATGCAACCGCGCTTAATCTAAATTGCACAAATCCAATCAGACTACTCATCTAGTAGGAAAAAAAACAACCAAAACCTTGGGGTACCTCGATGTTGCTCTTGGCGGGAAAACCGGTGGATAAACGTCTCTTTATAAATAATAGCAAATCTATATATATATATAGATGTGTTTAGCAAAAAGGCCACATACACTTGTTTTTTTTATAAAATATGTGGCCTTTTTGGTGTTGTCTATAACTTGACAATTGACACCCACACGGTGACAATTGCCAAATTTGGCAATGGACAGTTAATTTGAGAGGATATAGGAATGTCAAATAGCTTCTATTTCATGGATTCCTTTATTCGTGGAAGCCATTTGACATTCCTATCCTATATCAAAAACAAATTACGGCCGCTTTCTATACACAATCCCAATCTAATTTTCACTACTAGAGATCGATATTTCAATCCAAGTCTCATAAAATACTCTTCAATAACCGATCGTTTTTGTTAAATATTGTATTCGACAGATCGAATTTTGACATTTATCAATATAAATTTGCGAAAATCTGGATTGGAAATAATTTTAGATTATAACTCGAGTGTAGAAATCGGTCGTTAAAAATGTAACCGGAAAGAGACAAAAAATCTTCCTCCCACCTAGAGCAGATCCTAATATAAGCCTAATTACCAAATAAATATGCCGTTAAATTAATTTGTTAAATATTTAAATTTGCCAGAATTTGTTGAGATCATTAGAGGTACCTTTAGAACCTTAAAACTAACTTAACTATGCGCAAGTGATTTTAATTTTTAAATTATTTACAGGTACTTATTATGTACTAAGACTAATCGGTGTTTTATTACAATCAAATTAATTTAAACTAGACTTCATAAATTTACTACAAACCCTCTATTTTGTCCAAGAATACATTATCAAACTCGATTCAAGACAAAACTGATCATATATTTTTGCGAATATTAATTTTAATATTGAAGAAGTCAAAACCGTAATTTAAAAAATATTCAAAACGATATAAAGATACAAAACTCATTATATACAAATTACCCAAATGTGTGTAAACATTTACTAAACTTTGATGTGTGCTAAATAAGAATTCTTCTCTCCTCAAAATATGAAAGAGACAGAAATAAATCGTCTAAAATAATATTAAACTGGTAACACTTGATTGCGATTTTATTGTATAAAGTATTTTTTTATAGACCAAAAAAAAAACAAAAACCAGGGGGCAAAAGGGCAGGAGGCTCACCTGATGTTAAGTGATACCGCCGCCCATGGACACTCAATGTCAGAGACTCGCGAGTGCGTTGCCGGCCTTTTAAAAGTTGGTACGTATTAATAATTATGATTAGTTCATACTTTTCTATCGTTATTTATATTTCTTATATTATTATTTAGCACACATCCATCCAATTTATACAAACATTAAATATGAAATACACAAATGATTGTATACATATTCCAAAGAATTTCTTTAAACATTTTTTGAAGACAAATTGTCGCTATCTCTATCTAAGTATACTTTATAAAGAGAGAGCGCGATTGTCTTCTAAATAAACAATATAAAAGTTATACAACTAAATACATCTAAAACATGATCACAATCCAAAGTAATTTGGCAAATTGTCTATGCGGAATGGCAACACTATTCAAAGAACACTTTTATACTTGCACACACTATGTAAAATGTGTCTCTTTACTTTATTGAAATATATAAATGAAAACTTTCCGAGTTTTACACCACACATACAAAAACCAACCACACACCAATCCTAATTAACCTAAAAACCACAATCTACCACCAAAATTTCCCAATAAACCGGCAATGTCATTCTGGCAACACTTATCTAAGAGCCGTGTAGAGGTTTAAAACGCTCTTATTTTCTTTATGTGAAGGTGTTTTCGAGAAAACGTTCCAGAATCTGAGTGTTTCGTCTCCTGCGCCGGTCACGATCGCCTCACCATCCGGGGACAAGGCCAGGTAAAGCACTCTATATGAGTGACCGGTTAGCTTTGCGACCTGAAAATTAAATTTATTTATCATTAAATAAGGTGAAACAATACTCATAAACAGTAGAAGATATTAAACTTATAAGTTGTAGTCAACACATACCACTTAATAATTGTATTTTTAATTATCTTTGTGTACTCTATAAATTCGACTAAAAGACTTGTATCCATATCATGTAATATAAAAAAAAATTGATTGCCAGGATTGACACAGAGTGTTACTAGAGTTTTAAATATCTATACATTTCTATATAAGATAAAAAAGACCTCAAGTAAAAACTACTACTAGTACTTGAATATTTGCTCTCATATTTACAAATAAAGTATTTAATGGGATTTTAAATATACAAAAAACAAGAATAAAATATATGTCTGCCCTATATATATACAATTTATAAACTATATAATAATTGTTATATTAATAATTACCTGCGTTAGCGAAGGATACTTCCAAACAAGTATTTGGTTCTGCGAATATCCGTGTGTTGAGACCAGTTCGCTCGAGTGTTTAGACCATGCAAGGTTGCAAACTTGTGAGCCTGGAATTATTACAATTAAAATAATTACATTAAATACAAATTACTCTTTTGGTTAGAATAGTGATCAAATAATTATGTTTAACGACATTCCATTTAAACTAAACAGTGTTAAGATGTCACGTGGAACATGGTGTAATGGTTTCAGCTCCTTACAAACGTTGTGTAAAACAAAAAACTTGGCGATTAAAAAGAGTCATAGTTTTTTGCCAGTTCTTCTCTTCCGTTCTACGCCCTTGATTTGAGAACTGGCAGAAAATGTTAAAATAGAAGCATTTAATGTATATTTCTTTTTTGACTTTCATAAGTATACATTGTGTTTCATGAATAAATGATTTTTGACTTTGACTGACTTCATGTGACAACAAAAAAATCCTATTACACTTATATAAAGTATAAAATCAGTTTAGATTTTTTTTCACATAAACACTATTTCGCTCTCCATAAATCAAATTTGTTAATTTAAATACTAACCGGTATCGACACACTGCATGGGCTGGGAAGTCAGCGTATTCCAGAAACGTATGCAGCGATCTGCCGTTCCTCCGCCTGAGGCCAAAAGGCCGTGCTGGTGCGGAGACCAGGCGATGGCCTTCACCGCTGCTACATGGGCCGAATATGTTTGCACTGGCGATGGAGAATGCTGGAATAATAAAAGATTTGCGTGAGTTAATTTAAGTTGTTGGAGTGATGTTCAAATAAATGAATTCCTTTGTTTGAAGCATGGTGTCAACTGTCTTTAATAGTTTAAAACAAGGGTTTATAACATAAAATTAAAGGGAGAGGAGGGGTCGCGACGTTGGACTAACAAAAACTGTACCTTATTTATGGGTTCTTAAAACTAAGTGACACTTATGTTACCTATAAAGAATATAAATGTAATCGACATTATCGAAAACGAGAATGTTATATTACAATTTATATATGAAAAACTAAAAGGCTCATTTATTACTAAACTGACGTATTACAATTTATTGGCTACAAGTGTACGATGATTGCAAACATTTGCAATAATAAAAAATAACTAAAATATATATATGTAACTTAACTAATATTAGGTTAAATAACTCGTATTAATGATTTAAAATACCGGTGGGTATTGGTCTTTAAACAAACTTTCTACATAAAAAAGTTTTTATGAAGCAAATTACTAGATTAGATTATTATTTGAACCCGCACTACATTGTTAGTATGGCTAAAAAGGGATCAATAACACACAATAAGGAAATTAAATTTAAACTTCAAACACTTTTACTAGATGGCGCTACGTACATCATTTTGTAATTAATACGAAATATTATAAATATATCGATACAACAGTAACGAAAAACTTTATCAACACGACGAATGCATAGTTCATTTCTATATCAAATATTTCCTAACAAATTCACACAAAATGTGAGATAGGAAGTGTTTATCAGCTCACACCGCAAGTTGTCATACATTGTGTACACCGCAAAACCACATCATCGCACAAACAAAAAATCTACTGACATCAATTTAAAAAATCCGGGAAACGAATCGTCTCCTTTTAATAATTCACGCGAGTTGATTATGAATAAAAGGCAGCACTTAAAATTATTTTTATTATTAACGATAAAAATACAATTTATTTAGTTTAATTTAAAAAAAATTTCGTGACAGACTAAGTGTCTATAGCAGAAAGCACGAACTAATTGACAGTTCAGACTATTATAGTTTTAATTTTAGTTTAAGATCTGTATATTAAGTTGAGCTCCGCTTGAGCGTCATGTATTAACTTTAAAAAGAAAATATGGTTTGGTACGAACTTACATTTAAGTGTCAGAATATGGGACAAATAATTGTAACCACTGCCGTTTTCGAGGGCAAAATTATGTCTAATAGATCATAAAACTTACCATAGACCAAACAAAGAGTTTGTTATCGTTGCCTCCTGAAGCGAGCAACTGTCCATCAGGAGACCACTTTAATCCACACACCTCTTGTCTATGCCCTTGTAGTATCCGTGATGAAGTTGCATCTGAAATAAACGACAAATCCGTCAATAAATGTTACCTATTAACTCTAAGCACGTGAATTGTTGTACTATAAATCTTAATGAGTTGGGAATGATTATGCTATACACAGAAATCCCCCCAATTACGCACCGCGCCGCGTAATAGGAAATCGCGTTTTAGGAGTATTCTCGACTATTTCAATTCAAAAATTAGGAACGATTTTAATCAAGTTTTTTGGTTTAATTTTATAACAGTGCAAATACTAATTATGGACTAGACAAATCATAAATTTCACACTTGAGAAATCTCCGCTTTATATGGGGTTCGGAAACAGCATTATACGAAAATGCGTTATAGGGTAGGTACTGTTAATAAAATAAAAATAAAATAAATAAAAAATATTTTAGAGTGATAAGGACGATGATATAACTTTAGTCTTCAGGACATATGTGACCGCATATAAATATAGAAATAATTAACTTAAAGATTGAAGATGAGGAAAATTTAACCTTAATAACATGTAAACATATTTCTTACTTACAACATAAGTACCTAGTAATGGTATAGAATGATGGGGAATGGAAGAAAATTTATTTAGTCATTACTATTAATAAATATACAAAATACCCAAATTGTTCTGTCACCAAAGCTAATCCACTTATTAATCAAACTATTATAAAAATACTAGCTGATCCGGCAAACGTAGTTATGCCATGTATATTATTTTAGTTTATTTTTTGTGTATTTAATGTTTATTAGTTTTATATTATTTTTTTACTTCAATAAAAATAACTATCTACTATAATAAAAAATAGGGGTTGACGGTAGAGGGGTGACAATTAAGAGTTGTATGTATTTTTGAATGCTGTATCATACAAAAATGAAAACAAGTTTTGCCTAAAAAAAAATTTAGGGGTGGGACCACCCTTAACATTTAGGGGGATGAAAAATAGATGTTGTCCGATTCTCAGACTTACTGAATATGCATAAAAAAATTCAAAAGAATCGGTTGAGCCGTTTCGGAGGAGTATGGGAACGAACATTGTGACACGAGAATTTTATATATTAGATTGAATAATTAGATTCGCATCGAAATCTGATAAAAAGCAATCATAAAACTAAAACTGCTGGAATTTAAAACTGATTTTAAAATTCCAGCAGTTTTAGTTTTTTCTTGAAAAATTCAACGCATGTAATCCGAGGATCAGCTAGTGGATATACTCACTGGGTGCCCGCGTGTCCCGCTGTCTGATGTGTCGGTCCCGAGAGCCGGAACTTAGCGTGTCGCCGTTCCATGCCAAAGCGCCCACGCGAGCTACGTGTCCTTGAAGATTTGATACCTGAAAACAAAGCGTATAATCTGAAGAACTTTTGTACCAAGAGCACAAATCTTGAGCAGCCTAGTGGCTTCAGCGTACGACTCTCATCCCTGAGGTCGTAGGTTCGATCCCCGGCTGTGCACCAATGGATTTTCTTTCTATATGCGCATTTAAAATTCCATCGAACGGTGAAGGAAAATATCGTGAGGAAACCGGCTTGCCTTAGACCCAAAAAGTCGATCACCTACTTGCCTGTTAGATTAACAAATGATCATGAAACATATTCAGAAATCTGAGGCCCAGACCTAAAGAGGTTGTAGCGCCACTGATTTATTTATTTTGTACCAAGCCTTTTCCAACAGGGCATGGGGACGGACTTTCCACTTTTACTTTAATGTCAGTTATATTTTCTATTCAGTGCAGACATTCTCCAAGTTCACTCATTAGTTTAATTCAGGAAGAGAAATCGTCTACTAGCCCAAACATTACTTCATCCAGCGTTAACCACGACATTAGACCACGATACAAATAAAATCAGCAATCAGTTCGTCATATTAACAACCTGAATTTATTGACGTAACATTTTGACAAGTTCACTGAACTACATAATTTAATAATACCAGTAAACGTCGCGTTGCATTGTCTATGTTTACGCAAAACTGGTTCCAATCTAGTTTTGAATTTTGATCGAATGCAATAAAACTATATTAATTATATCACACCTGTTTTGCTAAGTGGCTGTATATGAACACCTCAAAAACTAATAAAAAGATTTACTTGTTTAAAAAAATTCAAATTGAAAAATAAGTTGTTCACTTGTTGCTTTATTATTTTCAAAATGATATTAATTGACAACTGGCAGTAAACGTGAATTCAATCATTTACTTTTTGAACTACATTAATATTCTTAATATTGACTAATAATTACAAAGAGCTCTATCTGTAGTATTTTAACATAAATTTAATATTTTTTGTAAAATTTTTGTACATACAGTGACAAATGTCAAGGGTCCGAACATTTTGATTCGTTATAGGGAGGTTTCGTTATATGGCGGGAAGAACTAATGTATGGGTATTGGGTTAAACCAAATAAATTTACCTCATTATTACGTTATAGAGAGTTGTTCGTTATAACGAGCGACGTTATAAAGAGTTTGCACTGTATGTATAAATAGGCTAGATTCTACTTTATCACTCTTCAGAATGTATGTGGCTGATCCAAGGTTTCATTATTATTTTTAGACAAGGCACAAATCACCGCCATCATCTCTTAACAGCGTACATATAGGCAGCTAGAGCTGAAACTCACAACCTCAGGGATGATATTCTAAGAACCACTATAGCTGGAAGAGAAGGATTCGCCTGTCTCCTGTCACCTATGTCCCAGCGACCCAAGGGCTTCTTCCATTAATTTTGAAATTACACGAGATGGTTTTGACGGGAATAGTTCACCCGGTTCTCTGACTATCAGAGTGCCTGGCAATACCCCTGCTGCTTATGGTACTGGTTAAAGAAAGACTTGTGAATGTTATGTTAGCTTACCTCTTTATTGACAGCCACATCCCATACACTGATATGACCTTTCTGTGTGCCAACAGCCACGTGGTGGCCTCGCTCGCTCCATGCCACAGATGTTACGGTGTTGCCATCTGACGAATAATCGCAAAGTCGAGTTACCTGGAATATTACACAATTATTAGTAAAGATGAAGCTAATCGGGTTTAAACGCACCGTTTCGAGTGACTTTGAGCAGTCGTGGTCTGTTATTCTTGTTTATGTCATTTAAGTTTCTTCTACCCTCTCGATACCCCAGGCATCCCATTACTCCATTTGCCACTCTTTTCCGTAGAACGACCAGTTTGCAAGTCAAGGGCGTAGAGCGGGCAAGAAGAACTGGCAAGAAACTCTCCGCCACTCTTTTTAATCGCCAAGTTTTGAGTCATACAAATTGTTTGAACTGCAGTGAATAAATCCCAAGGATTTGGATCATTTAAATAATCGTCTAATATAAAAAGCTTTATTGATTAATTTTCGTTTAACAAGGGCTTTGAATTTATTCAGTGATAATTCTCTAATTTCGCTTGGGTGCTAATTGTAAAAACGAATACAATTTCCATATAAGGAGTGGTTTATCTTCTGGAGCCTGGTTGGTCGTACGCTTAGATAAAATAAGTATTTATGCAGATAAATACATGAAGCCGCCCTAAGCAAAATTCCACCAAAGCCCAACAACGCGTGGGCCGATTCTAAAACAATGTGTCAGCGACACTGCGTTTCTCTAGTCCAATAAATATAAAAACCAGATTTGCGATGCCGTTTGCAGTTCAAACTGTTATGTCTAGACAGTAAACACAAGTATTATTAACAAAATACCTAATTAGTACAGGTATAGCTCAGATATCGCCTCTTCGCGTAATTTTTATTTTGTTTTTTAATTTGTTTCGTATACCGTTACCCTTCTACCCGTTGGAAATTTTATTGATATCTAGGCATATTTGGCCTAGTGCAGCAGTACGATCAGTGTTGACCTAGTGGCTCGAGCTTGTGACTCTCATCCCTGAGGTCGTATGTTCGATCCCCGGCTGTGCACGAATGGACTTTCTATGTGCGTATTTAACATTCCGTCGAACGGTGAAGGAAAACATCGTGATGAAACCGGCTTGTCTTAGACCCAAAAAGTCTATCACCTACTTGCCTATTAGATTGAAAAATAAAAGAAACGTCACGAAGATGTGCAGCGTTTGTGTCGAAGAAAACGGAGAGAGCAATTGAGACCGATTGAGAGAGAGTGAGAAGAGCGAATTAGCTTATAGAAATTCTATTTATAAAATTAAAATTTCGTAAAGAGAATATATGAATATTAGTATTTTATATTTTATGCAAAATAATGTATTGAAATCTCAAATGACGAATTGTAAATTAAAATGCCACGTGATTTTATTAACGAAGAAATGAAATTAATTGCTAATTTGTATTAATTTTTGATACTTTTAATATGTTAATGACAATTAAATTCATTAAATTCCTAACATATGTTCCTTTTTCCCTCCCTCTAAGTCTCGGAAATGTTTAGATTTGTATAAATATGAACAAGACTCAAAAATTCGTTTGCCAAAGTAGTTTCACTACTGACATCTGTACTTTGTACGCACGCACTTTTTGAAGTGAAACTTCTTTATCGGGGTTGGAAAAAAATTTAGTGTAACATTTTCTCGTTACGCGTCACAATTTTCGGTTACGCGCCATGTTGCTTTTTGAAGTCAAACTTCTTTATCGACGTATGGGAGAAATTTTGTAGCAAATCGTCACGTTTTTCAATTATAGTAATAATTCTATTACAATTAATGAAATTCTATAATAATCTTCGTAGTAATAAGGTAAAATGAAATATTTGTATTCATGTCTATGATAATAAAAGCCTTTTGTTAAACTTTATCTAATTTAACGAATTTCTGTAAAGTTGCATATAGTAGATCATTTTTCGAAAAATAAGATCATAAAGAAGTTTCACTTCTTACGTGTGTACACCTAGTACACGCACAATTTATTTAATTTAATTATCAAGCACTTACTAATTACACCCAGGTTATGCTACGACGCTAGCTTCCTACCTCTTCAAGTACTAGAGTCATCAAACCTTTTGTCCCGCCCTGTGGCATTTAGAAAAGATTAAATAGACAAAACATGCCGACTGATTAAAACTTATAGCATATGCAAAGCTTTATTCAATGCAGAGATAGTCTAGAGCCTAGACCATAACTTATAGATCTTGTTCGGTAGCCTATTCCATCTGATATGTGTGGAGGTGGACGAGTTTACTGTGGGTAGTTAGATGCAGGCCGCTGAACTTCAAAGCCTAGGAGCTAGTTATTTATAGTTTAACTTAACTAATAGTACTTTGGTTTAGTGGTGCGATCAAAGGGCATGGTGTCTATTTTATATTATATTACACAATATACAGAAAGATTTGAGACAAGACATCTCTAGATGTTGAAAAGTTTTCAATAACCAAAACGTAATTTTAGATAGATTTATATTTGCGAGTATATTTGATAGAAAACATTTTGTTTTAACCACCAGATTTCAAACCAGTGTAATATTACTTAGATCACATTAAACTGCATCATGAGCACACCCCACATACACACCCTCATTCACACACCATTACACAATACAGCCTATATGTATTTGGCCATAATGTATTTAAGAGTTTTTAAATGTTAGAATATTTGCGTATACATTTTTGATATATATATATAATTTATGATAGCTGTAAGAGTACGAAATGTGTCCGTTAAAATCGCACAAAGTTAAGTGCTTACGTAGATAATTCGCGAATAAATGGGTTTTAGAAACAGAATAGTCACTCCAACTACCGAGTCAAGAAGTCAAGTCAAATCATTTATTAGGCCTATTAATTTAGAAAAAAATAATCAGAAAGCTCTCTTTTCATCGCAACATTAAAACAGTTCGACAAAAAGTGACAAAAAACCGCATAGTGTCTTATATATACGTTGACGAAGTCACAGAAATAAAGATTAGTTTTTTTTTTAAATATATATATTTTATAATATATTAATCAACCTTTCGTCGAATGTAATTATCTGAACTCAAATAAATCCATCAGATTATAATCTTGTTGAAGTGATTCGAAGTCGCTTTGAATAAAATTTATACGATCGCAAATGTCGTTATTTATGACTAAATTTTGACTAATTATTTTGTTTAGATTTTACAATTTAATACATTTTAACACAAGCAAGACAAGCGACAAGTTTAAAGAAGAAATTCTACTTTTGTTTTAATTAAATTATCTTCACATATAATTATCAAATCAATGTCATACAAAAAAAATTAAAACTATTTTAAAAGAGTAAGCATGGAGTTTCTTGCCCATTCTTCTCCACATGCAACTACCTTTTGGAAGGGGCAACTACAGCAATTGTTTTAATATTTTTAACTTGTTATTTTGACTTTCAAAGGTGCCTTTTTAATAGGCCTATTTGAAATAAATGATTTGACTTTAATAGTATAATTCATCAAAAACTGAATGCGTCCTATTTTCTTTGTGTGTTAACAAAATCGTGTTTATAAGTAACTGAGAAGCTCCTAGACTAAAATGAATATTTATATCGTTGCATAAGTTATAATTCTATCTCGTTATAGGCGCAACATCTAAGCTAATTAAATAGCTTAGATTCAGCAGGATATGATCTATATGCCACATGGAACATGATTTCTAGTAAGGAAGATGTAATCTCAAAAGTCAATAATACTATACACATAAGAATTTCTTTATATTAAGAGAACATTCGTCGTACAAAATACTTTATATAGGACTAGCTAAGTTTATATGAATATTACTACCTGACCCAGCAAACGTTTGTTTTGCCATGTATAATATTGTATATTTCTAGGAAAAAAAAATTTTTTTTTATAACTATCTACAATAATAAAAAATAGGGGTTGATCGTAGAGGGGTGAAAATTAGGGGTGAACATTTTTGTATGCTGTATCATAAAAAAATAATACAAAAAAAAAATAAGTAAAAAAAATAAAAGATAGTAGCCGATTCTCAGACACTGAATATGAATATAACATTTAATAATAATTGTTTTTTGTTATATATAATTTCTGTTAGCTGAATTACAAAATAAAAACATCTAACGCATTCCAGTTTCTTCAAGATTCCTAACTGTCCGAGCAAGTGATAATTGTACACATGAAAATGAATTCATTGGGCCACAGCCAAGATTCAAAGACCTCATAGTTGAGAGATGCACGCGTAACTCTACATAATATGACAACAAATCATTCAAAAGGCAAACACAAAGCATAAAGTATCACTTGGTCTATTTAAATAACTAAAGGATTTATTTTGCATTTAAACTGAGGTCGAAATGCATAGACACAGGCCGTGATACAACGTGGTCATTGCCCCTAATCAGGAATGCAGGTTGGCACAGGAAATTCTCATAATATTATTAACCTTGCAAGTTTTTTGACAGTCTGACCTATCTGACGTCACGTGTCTCCAAACGCACACACACACACATCAATATTTATTTATTTTATTAAATAACGGAGTTTTTATATCTATGGAGAATAAAAATATAAAATTATGACTTAATAAACTCTATACAAAATAGAAATTATAAGGCAGTAATAAAAAAATTTTTTTTGGACATGGGCCAGATTTCTGTATCTATTTCATGATAAATTGTCAATCTGATACGTAGGTGATCAGCCTCTTGTACCTGACACACGCCGTCGACTTTTTGGGTGTAAGGCAGGCCGGTGTGACGATGTTTTCCTTCATCGTTCGAGCGAATGTTAAACGATTTTAAAACAAATGGTGACTTTCACCAGTATAATACGCGAAATAGAACTAATTTGAGTGTACGACCAACCAGGCTCCAAAAGATAAACCACTCCTTATATGGAAATTGTATTCGTTTTTACAACAAACTCCCAAGCGAAATTAGAGAATTATCACTAAATAAATTCAAAGCCCTTGTTAAACGAAAATTAATCAACAAAGCCTTTTATAAATTTGAGGACTACTTAAATGATCCTAATCCTTGGGATTGAATTGCTCCAGTTCAAACAATTTGTATGACAATACTTGGCGATTAAAAAGAGTGGCGGAAAGTTTCTTGCCAGTTCTTCTTACCCGCTCTACGCCCTTGACTTGCGAACTGGTAGTAAATGTAAATTTATGATTAATTTAACTTGACGATTCAAAAGTGTACTTGGTTACCCACTTGAATAAAGATATTTTGAGTTTGAGTTTGAGTTTGAGCAAATAGACAGAAAGTCGATTGGTGCACCGCCGGGGATCGAACCTATACGACCTTAGACAGTCGCGCGCTGTATCCACTAAGCCAACAATACTATGCTCTAATAATCTCATCAATCCCATAAGGCAGTAAAGTCCTATAGATATATTTAGAAGAAATTTTGACGTTTCCCTAAGTTGGAATACACATGGAGGATATATTAATCAATTCCAGAACCAGTGCTAATTAAAATCTAATATTTTTGGAGTCTCAAACACAAAACCGAATTAAAAATATACACAGAGCAGTTTGGCACTAAACCAACAAGTTATTATAAATAACACTAATTAAATTAATACTATGCGCCGGAGTCGAAATTACATAACAGATTGTAAAACACGATTGTGGCAAAAAACGGGTCTCATGTTTGAGAGGGCTTTGTCCTGCATTATCATTGCACTGACTAGTTTTTGGGGATCACTTTAATTTAAATCTAATCTCTTAAATTCACATCTGATGCTGACCAGGTAATACTAGTCTACCCAAGTCTATCTTGCGTGTTGTTCCCACGAGAATGTAAGTGCGTGCTTCTATTTCACCATGCCTCCTGCTGATAGAAGACAAGTCTTTGTTTTTAATTTATTTTATTATTATTAATTACTTAAGATGTCATGTGGAACATGGTGTAATGGTTGCAGCTCCTTACAAACGTTGTGTAAAAAAAACCATGGCGTTTAAAAAGAGTGGCGGAGAGTGTATTGCCAGTTCTTCTCTTCCGTTCTACGCCCTTGATTTGAGAACTGGCACTAAATGTTAAGTTAGAAGCATTTCATATACATTTCTCTGTTGATGTTCATAAGTGTACATTGTGCTACACATATGATTAAATGATTTTTTACTTTTGAAACGAGTATTGGATCCATTCTATTAGACGGGAACCGTGTGGGTGCAACTGTTTATGTCAAAAGGCACCATCAATAGACAAGGAGTAATGAAAGAGGAATATTTAAATAAAGCAACGATCTTTAACTATCTTGGGCACTTGGGTAATTTGATCAATTTATCCATTAAAAAAAACATTGTTAAGTGCCTATCTGATACATAATCCGTTATTAACAATAAGAAAAAAATATTAGTAAAATAAAAAATATTTTTATTTTTTCTAACATTTATGATTACCATAATTGTCATCTATTTTATAGCTTGTAACATATACTGTAGATATAGCAATATATATGATGCGGTGAACCTTTAGCCATTTTATTTCAATAAATGCGAATTAGAAGTTTATTTACGGGACCACATAAATACAGATTTGCCTTGAGACAGCATAATCCGAACAAAAAACACATGCACGGCTCTAATAAAACTAGACGAATTTTATTGCTTTTTATAAATGCTAAATATTCCTCGCTTCTATAGTAAAATATTCACATTCGAGTTATCGTAATTTCCACTCGTAGATTTTTCTATGCGCTACCGTCCGTTATGATCTTAAAACGGTTGGTTTTTTATAAAAACGAACGGAGGCTAACTTTGTAACACGAAAAAGTAGAGAAATATATAGTACCCCTATAACGCGATTTCCGTCTCCCATATAACTCGGTATTTCCCCCCTATAACGCGGAGATTATTCATATTATATTTTTGTAGTGAGACATCTATAATGATTTGTCAAGTTCATAATTGGTTTTGGGTACCTTTTCAGCTGTTTAAATTGTGTTATAAAATTAAACTAAACTTTATTTATTTAATAATGTTCTTAGTTTTCAATTGAAAAAAAAAACAGTTTACTGAATACTCCTACAACGCGATTTCCAATAACACGGTCCGTGTCTACCGTGTTATACGGTAAATGCTGTGTAATAGTGAACGCATTTCTTTCAAGAAAGATATATGTATATTTCAACGATTCGTTGCTATGAGGTTTTAGTTTCAACAGGTCGGCAATTTCGAAACTACTTGCAACGGCCCATTAGCTCAGTTGGTTAGAGCGTCGTGCTAATAACGCGAAGGTCGCGGGTTCGATCCCCTCATGGGCCAATAATTTTTTTATTTTTAAACATAGATGCAGAGCATTTTTAGTGCTCAAACAAGATATTAATGATATGCATTAGAAAATAAATAATATTGGATTAATTTTTCTAAGCTCTAAGAACTACCTTCATTTTCTTAATTAGTTATTTTTTATTTATTGAATTTTGACAATAGACTTACTTGGCTAGTACACGCACTCCAAAGATAGACACAGCTACCCAAGCCGACGCTGAGAACATTCTGGCCTGACCAGTCCACCAGATTTAGGTAGAAGTCATCTTGAAGATCTGGAGCATCTAGTACCTGAAAAGAACAGATTTATAGTATATCGATAAACTAAGCCTATATAAAACAACACCTATATAAACAAATATAAAAACTAAAAGCGTCTTATTACACTTGCCTTACAGTGATCCTATAACGCGGTCCTTGTCTACCGCGTTGTATGAATATTCTCGTAACATACATTAGTTTAATTTATAAAACAATTGAAATAGGTGCAAAGGTACGCAGAGAAATCTCTGCGTTATATGGGGGACGTAAATCGCGTTATAGGGGGCATTACTGTACTATTTTAAACAGGCTAAAAGTAGAATTTTTAAACCCACATTCTAACTGAACTGATTACAATAGCTAGTCCCTGCACATCTCCTATGCCCGATTATATTTCAAAGGCAAACGGTGACCGGCTGATAAATACTTACTTTGAAAGGTATCCGAGAGATCTTTCTTGTCGCTTTCCGTGGGGACCGAAGCAACTTCTGTGATTTTGCAGACACCGGCGAGAGGCTGTATGGAGATGGGTCTATATTCTCCTGAAATTAAAAGAAGGAAATAAATTCATGTATTCCCAATATAGAAAATCCTTAAACTATAAAGCTTTTAAAAATAAATAGGTCTGGGCCTCAGATTTGTGTTTCATGATCATTTGTCAATTGAATAGGCAAGTAAGCGATCAGTCTTGTGCCTGACACAAGCCGTCGACTTCTTGGCTCTAAGGCAAGTTTTCTCACTATGCTGTCCTTCACCGTTTGAGCGAATTTTAAACCCGCATAGACAGAAAGTCCATTGGTTCACAGCCGGGGATCGAACCTACGACCTCAGACATGAGAGTCGCACGCTGCAGGCACTAGGCCAACAATGCTCTCAACACAGTTTTTTGTAGCTATAAATTTATATAATAGTGCATAAATTATACAAAAACTTGAAAATGCTTAAATTATAAGCAGTTTTAGCCCACTTTAAATAAAATAAGGTTTATAAAAAAATAAAATCCCGTTACTTGGAGACATTTATGCGTCAAATTTCAAAGATTTTTGTTTCAACGGGAATCTAATCCGTGCTTAACACATTTAAGCATTTAATTTATCAAACTTAACCCAGACAATATACCTATCATTAATCGAAAAAAAAAATTTCATTAAATTTTTTACGATTGAGTTTTATTGCAACATGTTCTAGAATTGCTAATTAAACAAGAAAATTATTACTATCAGGATAAATGTATGCAAAAAGCGTGCCGTTTTATTGGCAAGTCAATCAACGGCAGACGAGCAAGAATAAAGAATAAATCAATTACGATAGTGAATTTAAAAGCTTTTTTTGTATAAAATTATTAATCATATGCCATATAGAATAATATTTATAATTTATTAAAACCTCGACACTATTGACGTTACAGTATATATAGAAATATTGTGTTAAAAAAAATGGCTGGATTTGAGAACTGGCAGTAAATATACAATTAGAAGCATTAATATGTATGTATGTTCTTTACTGACGAGTCATAAGTGTTTATTATCTACACGATTAAAGGATTTTTACTTTACTTTAGACTTTAGAATTATTTCTCAGAATCACTGATATTGTGTCTGCCCCACGACTTGTGATTTATTTCAAATAAATAACAAAAAAAACAATAACTAAAATATATTATTAAAAGGAGTTCATTTAGGCAAGGTTCCGAAGATACTGGCAACGTTTCCCCTTTTTTTTTTATTGTTTTTTGTGTTATTAATTAATTAATTAGTATATTATTTGAACATTAATAACTAAGATATTGTTAATTTTACTCCAATTGTGTACTGATTTACATTAATTAGTAGTTGCGTCTCGGGACGCCCGACAGAAGTGATAACATAAACTAATCTAACGTACCGTTCCGAGCATTATCTTCTGCTTCATTCATCATCATCAGCGCTGTCCGAAATACGGCTAACGCTGCTGTGTGAGAGTGAGAGAGGAGGAGCCTGCCTACCGTTCCCGTATACGTGATAGAAAGTAACGTAACCGTAACGCGTTACGAAACGGTTTACCCACACAAAAAAAAACTACGAAAAACCTTTCCGTTCTGTCTCTTTTTATCACAGCATAAACACAACTAGCCGGAAAGTGACGAAATATTATATATATAGCAGTTTAATGTATTTTTTATGAATGAAGACCGTCTTAAATCTTCTATACATATATACTTTTTGTTTTTCTATAAATTACGAATCAAATTTGGTTCCTATACACAACTGGTGAATTGTATTTAGAGACTGGGGTATAGAACAATACCTATAGAACTCCAAATCAACCTTGCTGACACTGAAGGACAATCATTTCACAGAATCCCGTCCCATCACAATTAAAAAAAATAACAAAAGCTTGATTATTAGTGTTAAATATATTTAATTCATAAAGTACAGAATAAAAAGATAAATGACCCCCTCTGGTGATTACGAAAAAGCTAATAGTGCAAAAAGTTTTGACAAATTGATTTTGAAAAGCTCTTGGCTATTTGTATGGCTCACTGCCAAATACACAACAAGGTCATAACAGATGCCTCAAAACATATTATGAAAATGCATAATTTTAACTTAAATACTTCAAATTTAATTTATAAAAAAATAAATAAATAAATCAGTGGCGCTACAACCTCTTTAGGTCTTGTCCTCAGATTTCTGAATCTGTTTCATGATCATTTTTTAAATCTAATAGGCAAGTAGGTGATCAGCCTCCAGTACCACACACCGTCGACTTTTTGGGTCTAAGACATGTCGGTTTCCTCACGGGGGGTCAATAATCTCCAAAAATTGCGCGACAATACTTGCTCCCCAAGCCAAGAAACTTATCATTAAAATCTTTATATATATAATTCTTCTGTGAGTGTGTATGCCACTGAACTTCTCTCAAACGACTGGACCGATTTTGATGAAATTTTTTGTGTGTGTTCAAGGGGATCTGGGAATGGTTTAGATTCACAAATCAGCCCGGCAGATGGCACTGCAGTCGGTACTTTCATACTTTGCTTAATATCCTAATCGCTTTAAATATCATGCAGGACAACGTCTGTGGGGTCCACTAGTACTTTATATAAAACCTCAAAACTAATTAAAACTTTAAGGTCACATTGTAATTGGGCCTTCAGAGGTACGAATGGGTAAAACGTGTATAATACTTGAAGCGTAACGCGTCCTTGACAGGTTCGCATACATTGTCTTTTTTATCACGGACAAAAACTTGAGAGAAATAAATATATTCAAGGCAGTTATTTTAGTTAACGAAAACGCAGATGGAGGCATTTCGAGCCAGACTCGAGCCTCAGCATGACGGGGACTCTCATCACCAATGGGGTTTCTGTCTTTGTACGCATTTAACTTTCGTACAAAACACGAAAACATCGTGAGGAAACCGGCATGGCTTACACACCAAAACATCGACGTTAGGCACAGAAGGCTGATCACCTACTTTCCTATTTAAAAAAAACAAATGAGCCCCTGAACTTAAAAAGGTAGCGCCACAGATTTTTAAATTCGGAACATCAGCGCTACATACATTGCAAGAACTACTCCAACAATTGCATTGATAACAGTAATTAGAGAGAAAAAACATCCACACATACATATATGTCTATAAAAATCGTAAAAGTTCAATATGAATTAATATAATTGTATGATATGTATTTAAAAAACATCAAAAAAGTCACTTCTAGCATTTATTTATATATATGAACGAGCGTCTAAGAAAAGTTAGACGTACTTTTATTTAGTCATACAATGCGTGTTGTAACATCGATGCGACCTACCTTCACTTTTGTAAAAATTATTGTACATATTGTTAGCAACTAATACTTTTATTTTTTTAATTTAATTTCTCACTAAGTGAATGTAATTCTTTGAGAAATAAAATATCTTTGAACCGAGGAGCACAGTCTGTAAAGGCCGATTTACATTATCTTAGTGTTTAGGAGAGTGCTTTAGGATAGTACTTTAGTTGAAACATGTAAACGCTACTTGCTTTAGTACGGTTCTACTTGACTTTCAAGTTGAATCAAAATAGAATCGCTTTTTATTTTTGTTTCAAGTGATACCCCTCCCGCGCCCGCGCAACCCCCGAGATCTTCCCTCGTTGTGTGTAAACACGTAATTTAGTACAATCTTTAGGAGAGTGCACAAGTACCGTGAAACGCGTGCGTGTTTTTTGATTTTTAAAGATGGCTAAATGGTCGGAAGATACTACTATCAAATTTGTGTCTGAATATATTGTTCACGAATGTTTGTGGAACGTTAAAAACAATTTATACAAAAACAAACAGGCTAGGCATTCGGCATACACTGCCTTAAAAGAAGCTATTTTATTTATTATTCATATTTAGTTTATTTATTTCGAATAAAATCTCGTCTTCTATTTGTTCCATAACTACAGTAAGTATTTTGCGTAGAATAGAGCGTATTTGCCGACGTCGTTGCGCGTTGATTGTGGCGCTGTAATGATACTCTACTCACTACTGGAAGAAATGTAAACGTTCACTCGCAACGCACTAAAGAACTTGCCTTTCAACTTGTACTAAAATACTCTCCTAAACACTAAGATAATGTAAATCGGCCCTAAGTACGACCTGAGTCAAAGCACGCTTTATTTTCCGCTTAGTCAGTGCAAAAACTGCACATTTCGTGTACCTACCTGCGGTTTAATGGCCATGAACCTGAATATTCTAATCTAGATACACATTCGTGGGATTGTGGGCTTATACCATTTCGGAGCCATAGAATTTACGAGCGTGGGTGATGTTGAAAGGCAATATAAGGTCATGATGCGGAATAATTACGAATTAATATACAGTAAAGTAAAGTCATACGTTATTAAGTTTAATTTTATAACAACGGAATTCAAAACAGGCGCAAAGGTTCGCAAAACTAATTATGGACTTGACAAATAATATAATCTAATAATAAATTTCACAGTACAATAATAACTATAATAATTTAAAGAAAACACTTTTTACCGGATTGAAGTTATGTATTATTATAAATTTAGAATTATTTTAAGTACATAATTTTAAAATTTTCCAACGTTTCGCGTGCTTTACAGCGTGCGTGGTCACGGTGAGTATAATAATTTTGATTTTTTTTTTGAATAAATTACGATTACTACTAATGAAATACAGTGGAAATATTGGATTATTCTTTTACGTAATTAATTGGTTTTGTTAATATAAAAGTGCATTCAATCTGTAAAAAAAAATCTCCGCGTTATATGGGGGACGGAAATCGCGTTATAAGGGAGATTGTAGTAAATACTTTATGGGTTTGGATATCCATACTTGTTCACCTCACAATTTGAAATCAATTTTCGTTTAGTTTTTATAAATCAGTGTGCCGAGCGTTGGCAAGCTTTTAGATAGAAAAAACTAAAAACGAACCGCTATTAATTACCAAATATAACATCTCGTTATAATAGCATATTATAGTGATACTATGTTTTGTACACCAATGGAACAGCTAGAGACAGTCATATATTACTAGGCAAGTAGGTGTGAAACAATTATTGTTTCACCAGATCCAAATCCATTCTACATTCACTATTAAATAACGGAGCACACTTTATTAACTAACATATTGAATCAATTTGTCCCAAGTTATGCCAGCGTCCAAACTGCAACATAAGACATTTATTTTTTTATAGAACAGGGGGCAAACGGGCAGGAGGCTCATCTGATATTAAGTGATACCGCCGGCCATGGCCACTCTCAATGCCAGAGGGCTCGCGAGTGCGTTGCCGGCCTTTCAAGAATTGGTACATTCCCTGTATCTCTATCATCCTCTCATCTCATCTCTTCTATCATGCTTTAGTTATAATATACGAGGACAACGTCCATCATAAGTCGTCAAAAACTGCTCATAATTGTTATTGTAATTAATTAAATTTGATAGGTATAAAGATTATTTATGAGACTTAAAAAAACATCATTTAAATGTGTTAATAAACAGCGGTTACATTAATAACCCGTATTATTCAAATTTAAGAGGATTCAGGATTCCAGGGCGACACCCACATCGGACATAACACGAAACAAACATGGTTCAAGCGCACACACAATAAATATCATTGATAAAAGAAATGTTTTTATTGTAGTACTGTGTTATCCTACACCGTTATAACGGACCAAAGCATCCAATCTCTTTGTCATCAACGTACACATTTGATATTTCAATCCTTTTCAATCGAATGCTTTTTGACGTATTCTATTGCAAACATAAAACAAAAATAAAATATAAAATTAACTTGCTAGTTTATTTTGTGAGCTAAGAAGAATACAGACTACGTGTATAATTCAAATATATATATATAATATATATATATATATATATATATATATATATAATATATATATTTATTGCTAAGGATAAAAGAATAGAACAGAACAAGAACGAAGAAAGGAAAACGCCCCCTCCTACACTTATATACAATTTTCTGTTACACGTCCAACATTTCTAGCGATTTCCATTTTTAATATATTATAACTTGGGCTTACCACTGTTAACATCCCCCTCCCCCTCCAAAACTTCCTATACACAAGTCCTTTCATGCCACCCAGGTGAAATGAAAAAATCTCTACTGTCCATTTCTCTTACTACGTATACGCGATAACTAGAAAGTGAATTTCATCTATGAACGAGAGCGAGTCGAGATTGAAAGTGCATCAAAGTGTTTAATTTATGAACGCTCCGCCCAAAGTCATCGACTTACTGAACAGGTCGAATGCATATATGTTACGTAAGAAATTAGCCTGAAGAAACTGCAACTGGTTTGGATACGCGATATTTGCAACGATAACACGTGTCAGTTATGATTTTTTGCACGAAAATATGTTGTTCAGTCCAACTGATCTTATCTATGTAATACGTGAAAAGATCTGCGATGATTTGGCGTTGTATATAAAAATTTGTTCGACGTCTGATATACAAATTTAAAAGTAATTGTTGCGTTTAAACGGATAAAACCATTTCTGATATAATCTTGTGCTACAACACTGTTTGTATCTGTACTTGTCTTGGAGATTCTGGAATTTCTATAATATGCCATCCCTCAAACATATTTTTTTGAAGAGAAACTTCTTTAGGCGAAGGGTAAAATTTGTACGGATACGTTACGAAGATGTGCAGCGTTTTTGTCGAAGAAAAGGGAGAGAGCGATTGATTGAGAGTGAGTGAGAAGGGCGAATTACCTTAGAGAAATTGTATTTTTAAAATTAAAATTTCGTAAAGAGAATTTGTGAAAGATTAGTAAGTATTTTATATTTTATGCAAAATAATTTATTGAAATCTCCAATGATGAATTAGAGATTTCAATAAATAGAGAGTAAATTAACATATCTTCCTTTTTCCCTCCCTCTAAGTCTCGGAAATCTAAAGATTTAGATTTGAAAATGTGAACCAGACTTAAAAATTAGTTTGCCAATTTTGCAGAAATTTCACTTCTGACATGTGTACTTTGTACGCACGCACTTTTTTTAGTATAGGGGGTGCAATAGAGCCCAAAAAGGGCAATTATCGCCGCCTCCACCCATTTTTAGTGGATAAACAACTGGAGGTCGTATATCTCAGGGAAGACCCCCACCAGAAATCGATTCCACAGTCACCAGTTCACAAAAGAAAGAGTCTTGTCATACATCGGGTAATAAATAGTTGAAGCACAGCCTGCGTTAAAAACCCACGATTTCAGGAATAGGAAACGTTTTATTTCTCTGCTCTGAAATCCCCATTACCCTAAATTCTAACTCACCAAATTCAGTAAATGATTACGTGTTAGCATACAGTTACTTTGTTAGCAAAATTATAAACAATTTAGTCTCCTAATGCCGATTTGATTACACTTTTTGCACACAATAATTTCGGTAACAATTTAAACAATCACAAAGAAAATTGCTGCCGTTACTCATCTAGTATTTCGTATATTAAAACACATTTAAGTTTAAGAATTGCCAAAAAAACTGCAGTCAAATGACGAAGACTTTTATTACCGTGGGAACATAACTAGCAAATACAACCCAAATTCAAAATGAGGATTTTCTCAATGTAAAGGCTTCGGATTTGTTAATACTGATTTATTTATAAAGTTTGGGGTATCCTTTAAACAAAACATACTTTTTACAATTCATATTTTTGCTGTAGAATGATAACCTCGTATGTCTAGAGAACCAAACATTACAGGAAACGATTTTTTTTTCGTCAATGTCCGTTAAAATATTATTATGTGCTTTTGTATATTATTACGTGACTTATGTAACTTATTTATCAATAACATAAATAAGTCCTTACTTCATGATTGTACCAGTTAAATGACAAGAGTCTAAGAATAAAAAATATTTGGTTTTTTGACATACGAGGTTATCATTCTACAGTGACGATATGGTCTACTTAGCTTTTGTTAATACAATTTATTGTCAAAGTCTGAATAGTGATTAAGGTTGCTCACGACAACGCTTACAAAACCCACGATCAAATTGTAATTATTCCACAAAATGGCGGCGTAACAAATTTTAAGTGCGATCTGTGGTTGCGGTGACGATATACCAATTGGCCATTTCCTCTAGACACAAAAGCTCCAATCGTTGTAAATAGACAAAAACTCCCACACAATAGATCGCACAATGCTTCTATTATTATAGATTCAGTAACATTGATGCAATATCCTGTAATATTATTAATAATAGTATCACTTGTGAGTTGTGACGTGTATCTCCTTCGTATATATATTATACATATTAAGTTTCTCATGTAAATAAATACATTAATTTTGTTATCATAAATAAAGTTCTTGAAACATTAAACATTACTTGTAATATTTTGTATATATATATCGCTAAATCAAACTAATTTAAAGCTAGTATTTAGTCCAGATCATGTGTAGATCACCGGTAGTCTAAAGAATCTCCGACGACGTATCGGACACAGAAGACTTAAAAAAATAATGAGAAGTGTGTCTGCCCCATACCCCGGATTACTAAAGATCATAAAACACTAAATTAGACACTGTGTCAACAATGTATTTATATACATTAATTTGCATGTACTTAATCAATAGGATACATGTAGCAGATATTTAAATTTACTGTATTAAATCACACAAATATTGCATCTTCAGAAATCGATAATATTTTACAGAAATAGAATAGTTGCGTCTCCGATGCCAATCTTGTAACCGTTTAATAGTTCTTGCTGTCGATAAATCCGCCGACAGACAGAATAAATTAAAATGAATTTCCATTTCGCATTCTAAACTATCCCGAGTACGTTAAACTTGCTAGCGTTCTAAAAAAACTTTATTCTCAAATAAAAACTGTCACGACTGCAATGTACGAATTATGCTAATCACACGACGGCAGAAAAGGTAAAAGAAAATTTTAATATCACCAAAACCACAATGGTGTAAGATGAATGACCAATCAGAGTCAAAGTTTATTAACCTCAGACAGCAGACGCATAAAAAGCAAGAAATCCACAAAGTAGTGACTAGATTTGAGATAAGAGATTGATTGGTACTATAAATGAATACTATGACCTAACATTTCTGTAAACAGGTCACGTTAGATGCGCTATAAAAACTGCTACTGCATAATCTCAGACCCCTTATCAAGTGAGAGGAATACAAATTTCAAAACAAGGAACTAATTTAAATTTCCAACTTCAGAAAACCTT